TTGTTGTTTAACTGGCACTTGCAGCCATACTTTAGGGGTAGACTTAGTCACTTAGGGAAGTATTTTGAGGTGAGTCATGCTCCTTTGTCTTGTTGGCTTTAATACAATTTCGAACGATGATAACAATGACGGGCACATTTCATTCGCGCCGGGACTTTCCAGCACTGTCAGCTATTCTTCGCCCTAGCTACAGGAGCCAGTTCGAAACGCAATTTGCCCTTGAAACAGGACGGTACAGTGAAACTGGCCAACCTGAAACACGAGCAGTAAGTTAAGTTACCCACCGCATATAGGCGAGGAAACCATTTTGTCCCCTCCTTTGATATAACGCCGCGCGCACGTAAATGCTGCATAAAGTACGCGAAAAGTGGCGAGCGGAACTGGGGCGTGGGAGCTTTTGAGTCAAGCTCGAGCACCCGCCAGTGGCTCCCTGCCTTGTTTTTTTCGGTGTCTTACGGAGAAATCACCACCGCTCTTGGAGTACACGTATGCGTGCACGTCGTGGCTGGAGCACGAGAGTGGTGCAGCCGGGCGTAGCAATTACACTTATAGGTCCGTGAGTTGATGCCGTAACTGCTTCTGCACTAATTTTTAGGTGCACGTGAATGCAAGGAGAGGCCGGCGAGAACAAAAAGAAAGCAGTTGAAAACAACGCAAAGAAGAGGCCGGTGGTCATTCGAAAGCGGCATTCTTTTTGCAGTCCCTGATTATAAGTGCGCTTTCTGGGACGGCCGACTGCTTGCTGGTTCTCGTAGTCAGCTGAACGGAAGCAGTCCAAGATAAGAAACATTTCGTGCCAGGGCGTGCCTCGGCCTTTCCTCCTTGTCATTTCTTTTTCTCTTTCTCTACTGCCGTGTTCCTCAATCAAAATTTATTTAATCGCAATCGGTGGCCACCAGGCACGCCCTACATGGAGCACGAGTTGGCACCGGCCGGGAATTCGACACGTAACAACTGGAATCGGGTGTGGCTGTCTCTGCCGTAATAGCAGTAACAGTATATCCGACGCCGTCAGCGCTAGTTCGCGGGCCTGTGTTATTGACCAGTTTAACCGATGGCGTCATCGATGTGTTCTCGAATATTTTTTTTTTTCTCCAAGTTGCCCGAAAAACGATTGGTGAAGATATGGCTTTCTGCCAAACTACTGCGGCTGCCACTTGGGTTTTACCAGCCCTCTATCGAGTTTAAGTGTATGTAAAAGAACTGCAGGCACAATATTTTTCTTTACCCGCTGTTTTTTTTGCCCATATCGGGATTGCAGTAATATTGCTACACGTTTTGTTTACACAAGAAGCGCGATGGAACTCAGAATGCAGTTCATTACCCAGTACAGTGCAACGACAAGCAAGGTACCAGTTCACGCAGATAAATGCGGGTGATTTATGCCCTTCTGGCAATTTTCAAGACAATAATTACGGTATGGGTGAATGAACTAATGGATGCGCGCTAGTTAGGTGGAGATGAAAGCCAAATAGCTGTAACGTGTTTGGGATTTCTATTGCCGTAAACAACTCACGTTCCTTATTGCGAGCTAACTACGCACTCCCGACATTATGAAGATGTTCAGCACGCAAAAAATGGACGCTCTTTTGACTTTCTGTACTGGCTTGCGGCTGGTTGCGCTGATATTGGTGCATATATAGTAATATTAACGTGTTCTATTTGACTATTTTGATGTTTTGGTTCCCCTTACCCCCTTTCCAGTGCAAGGTAGCCTACCTGGCTCAGTCATGGTTAACCTCCTTGCCTTTCTTTCATCTTTATTCTCTCTCTCTCTCTTGGTAGAGTAGCGAATGTTTCATGCAGTACTATTTTACGAAAATATATGTGCTAATATTATAAATTTGGAAATTCTTAAAGTATAGCGTTGGTTTGCAAAGCTTCACTTTGACTCGGCGATGTGCACACGCCTAACATCACTATCGCTAAATTTGAAATGCTGCGCTTACTTGCCAGCCCACTTTACTCTGAAAGTAAAAATAGGGGCTATTAAATGGTGCGTTTACGAGCTCAGGCAAAGAAGCTGGAGTCCAGACTAAACACCTCAATTTAACGCTCCATTGTCATTCAGCGCTTAGCAATCTTCCATCTTCCTTCTGCTTCACTGCTGTTGGTGAAAGCCGTCGCTCTGCAGGCTCCTGCTTCGTGAAATGAGCATACGTTCGTTAGAGCATTTAGGAAGGAAACAATAAAAGTTCAGCGATCTCCACCGTCAGTGACTGTTCACATATGTTCGTGGTTCTAGAACATGATCAGCTGGTTAAATATTCTGGCCTAGTAGCGGCCTAGCGTATAGAAGGGAAATAATTGTACAACGTTGTTGAATGTTTAGTGAAAGCTCTCGTTAAGCTATATGATTGAGCATAAAAGAATCTACAGAAAAAACGGAAATTTTTCAAAGTATACTTCATCTCATTTTCGTGTACCCAACACGATCACTTACGTGATGCATTTAGCACAGTGAATTAACAACGCGAGATGCATTCACCTGTCAGCACAGCGCGTAAAACCTGTCTTAACAATTTAAGGAAAAAAGTGTAAATGTTAAATGCTCATTTTTTTGTTAGACACAATAGTTATGACAACTAACAGACGATAATGCGAAGTGCAGAGGATGTTCTCAGCAGTAAGTGCAATGTAAATGGGAAGAAATAAAAGTGGAAAAAAAGGTAACTTGCCGTGGGCAGGGACCAAACATGCGGCATGTCTTAACGAAGCAGTTGAATTTCACCGTTTGCCCGTGTTGAGTCTTTCGTCTGCGTATTGTGGCTCGTAGTTTGTGCTGAGTTAGCCTTGAATTTAAGGGTATCTCCTGCGGTGAATTTCTCGAAGCACGATTAACCGCATGAAGGGGAGGCTGGTACGTCCACGTTTAAGTGTGGATATAAAACGGAAAAAGAAAAATGAATCTGTGCGAAATCACAACTCTACCAATGGTGATAACCTCGCGCGTACGACGTACACCATGTAAGCCAGTAATGTTTGCTTATAACTGCAATCACGTTAACTATTAGTACCGTACTTGATGTACCAGCAGCGAAAAATATACTACAACCACCCTACATCAAACCCCTATCCTATCTCAGAACACATAGTTACAAGCCTACGCGCAAGTCCATTTATTAACACACCCTAGCGTTTTATTTAATTTCTAGGCCCGAGGAGGATCTTTTAGTACAGCGATTCCACACCGAAGGCAATGCTATTATGAGTCCTTTCTCTGTATTATCGCCCCTGTAAGAACTGCTCACAGGGTTGATTGATTGATTTGTGGGGTTTAACGTCCCAAAACCTACAATTTGATTATGAGAGACGCCGTAGTGGAGGGCCCCGGAAATTTTGACCACCTGGGGTTCTTTAACGTGCACCCAAATCTGAGTACTTGGGCCTACAACATTTCCGCCTCCACCGGAAATGCAGCCGCCGCTGCCGGGAATCGAACCCGCGACCTGCGGGTCAGCAGCCGAGTACCTTAGCCACTAGACCACCGCGGCGGGGCAAGCTCACAGTGTAATTATGCATGAGTAACGCAACTGAATATTACGTTAGATTGTCAAGAGACACGGCAATTGTTACGAAACCATGGAACTACACGGGTGACGAGGCGAGAAATTCCGACATATAGATCAGCTGTTTGAAACGCCGTGTAAGTGGATACCCGTGGCGGGCACCTAAATTTCTCGGCACTCTCCATCGCCATAGGCGCTTTGTAAGCGTGATTGACCGAAGCAAGTTGGCTATAGAAAATAGCACGCGAGTCAGACGAGTTCCAGCGGCGTAAAAGGGGGATAACAGGCGGCGGCGGCACGGTGGAGGCTAGGCAAACGAGATCGTTTTCGTGAACATCGTGTTGGCCCTGAGGCAAAGGCGGTCTCCGCACTCGCTGGCAGTGCAACGACCCGCTTCGCCCGGCTAGTTTCACGGTGTACAACATACGGTATCATCACGTCAGCACACACACGACCACGAACGTATAAAGGCGTACAGAAGCACTGCGAGAAGTATGGCCGGTAGACGTGACAGCTGGATAAACGGCCGGCTGGGCTCTGAAAACGGGAATAGAAATGAAACGCCCCTGCACACCAATTGGAGAAGCAAATAGGCGTTTCGCTCAAGGGGGCCTAGCGAACGGGATTTCCTTTAATTGCCCCGCTTTCGACGCTCTGTGAAAACAGCAATGGCTCCTTTCGCACTTCTATGTTTGTTTGTTTGTTTTGGTGGGAGGGGGGGGGGGAGAAGGCTAACACACGTGCTCGAATTCACTCTGCACACGTATCCCACGTTTGCAGAACCTTCTGCGAATGAGTGTGCATTGGGGTGAACTAGACGAGCGTGTGCAGGCGGGTAGTGGTGTAGTCTTCGTCCACAGCATAGAGCAGCAAACGCTGATATTTGCAGTGGGACCTGAATGCACAAAGAAATGTGCCCCAGTTATTGATAGGCTGCCATAGGGTTCAAGCGTTAAGCGAATTGTGCAAGGCTGGATGAACATAGTGTGAAATATTGGAGCGTTATGCCATTTTTACACTTACGTCGAGTCCAAGAAAAAAAAAAAAAACCTAAGCCCTCATCACCTAACTGTAAGTGGCTGTTGCTGTCCGATAATTCACACTTCGTGTACTGGCTCTCTAAACGTGCCATTTAAACGTGTTTTCTACCCACGGCTCTTCACTGAAATCTTCCTACATTCTTCTTCGTTCGTCGGTCGAAAGAAATAACTATCTTATCTGCGTTTCCTGCATTGTTTAGTAAGGAGAAGAATTTCAGAAGGCGGCTGAAGTTGCCGCATGCCGTTAATGTAATGTTCATGCATCGAATGGCATCCTGCGTTCTATCGAAACTAGAAAGGCAAGTTTGGGGCTTTTTGACAGCCAGGGCGGAACTTCGCGAGCGACATTCCTGACTTTTTTCTGATTGCTGTTTTTGGTATGTCCATAATTTCGCATTGGGTATATACCATGGAAGCTCATTATTTTGTTGTTTTCCTTTTTCACCCACAGCGTGCCACAGGGGAGAGTTTCGGTGTCTGAGCAACTACTTTTGCATACCCGAGCGGCGCGTCAGAGATGGCTGGGAAGACTGTCCCGACGGCTCCGACGAAAGTGAGTGTTGTTGTACTTGCCTCTATATTTAAACGTAGAAAAAGCTAGACGGAGCACTTATTGAGCGTTATCGCGTAGAAGCTGTCACTTCTTCAGTTTTTCTCTTGTTTTCCGCGTACACCGCATAATTCCTCAACACCAGCGACGCCTGGTAACCTGTTTCTTGACTCCGCAGCTTGCACGGTACAAAGCGACCGAGAGACGCGAGAAAACTATGAGAAAGCGCGCCTCTAAAGGGCAGCGTGGGAGAGTGGCTGCTTTTATTTACATCAAACATCGCAAGCTTGACAGGAAGAGTGGGTAGATAAGAACGAGGGCAATGTCACGCACCCAATATACTACAAGATTGCTCGTTTTGAAGTCTGCCTCATTGAAGGGAGGGGGGGGGTGAAGTGAAGGCTATAGAGGTCGCTCCTATGCTGGAAAGCTTCGCCATGTTCACTACTTCACTTTTTGGGACGCGTTAATGGATTTTCTATTCTAGAAGCGGAGGGGACGTGGTTGGAAGTGCGCAAATGCTCAAGGTACATAATAAGGCACAATGCAGTGCCCGCACGAAAACTGGCTGCGCTTCGATTGTGTGGGAATATCGCGGAGTGGCCTGATTGTTCTCAAGGTTTCGACGCTGTAGCATTCCCGGACATCTGACGTGCACGCTATAGTGGAAGTGCTGCGTTTGAAAGTGCGTCCGATGGAAATTTACCGCACTCTCCTGTGCCTCCTCTGAGTCAGTATTTTAATTTCTCTCTTTGTTTATTAACTTTTTATTTATTTTTGCTGTATTTCTTCATACATGGGGTCTGATAAAATCATGATTGATCAGGTGAATAAGACAAGCGCCTACCGAGGAGAAGAGAATTGTTTGGAAAGCTACGTCTCGAAAACTTTGCTATTTAAAAGGACGAAGGAGAATATACAGCACGCAGTTGATCCACGTCTGTACTTCCGTGTTCCCTTAAAGCACAGGAAGTTTTGTGCCAACCAACGCATAGCGTTGACTCGGAAGTGCGTCCACATTTAGTTGTTGTTTACTCAAACAGAAGCATGCTATGAAAATATTTATATTTATTTACGTTTTCTGTTGTGAATGCGCGCATGCATTTCCGAACTCCTAGCTCTGCTAATTTGATTTCAAGTGCATTCAAAATTGACCTTTCATTCTCCCCACAAGAAAAAGAAAAATAGCTGACAGGTCTTCAAAACTGGATAGCAGAAGTAAAGGAATCTGATATAATATCCCCTGACGTAAGTTACAAAATCACCTTTACCAAGTCATGGTTGTAACCAGATCGGACACATGCAACAGAGGCGTGAGAATGACATAACAATGCCTATAAACACTAAAAAAGCTTTCTGTACCATTATAAATGGTTCCTATGAAAAAGAAAAGGCCGCATGGTAACACGGGTAACATATTAACAGGTGACGTTTGCATACATCATTGCTGAAGTGTGAACGGGAACTGACAAGAAAAAATAAAAAACTAAAGATCTCCACATTTAATTTGTCCAAACAATATTGCACTATTAGGCCAAATACAAAGGGCCAGCTTCTGCACAATGCCTGCAAATGAACGCACGACAGCTTCTCTAGTTGTAAGAAATCAACAACTCAGTGCCCATGTAACGAGACCACAAATACGTTTATACATTCATTAGCTTCGTGGACATCATATCGGTCGGCATGCGGATGCAACATACTTTGCATTCACGCTTGATGTCAAATTAAGCCTGCATACGGGCTTCGTAATGTGTACGGCGTTTAACCTAATTAAGGCTTGCACAAACAAGCGCAGCGGGAAGTCGCAGTAACCATATAAGTAGGGCAAACAACGTAGCGTTGCGTATTCATTCAAGTTTCTACACAGTACTCTATGCTGCCCAGAATGCCTAGTATGATATATATTTGACATATTTTACTCAGCTATAGCATTTACGCGTACTTGTAGATTAGGAGAGCTGTCAAAAATGTGCGTACAGTCCTATATTAAAAAAAACTTAAGTGGACGTTCGTGGAATGTCTATTCCAATGGACGTCCGTGGGACGTCCACTGGAGTCTGTTCAAACTTTTTCATCAAATCTTTGTTGGAAGGGCGGTTGATGGATGTCCCTCTAATGGACGTTCGATTAGAAGGAAGCTTTGCATTAGGAGGGAAAACTCAAGCGAAGCAGTGAGATTTCAACGGCCGGCCTTGGGTCGCCAGCTGTGCGTAGCAAAGGTGGGAAGTGAATCGTTCTTCCGATCAAACCAATAGTAGTCCCCGGCCACCATTATCGTCAAAAACCTGCGTGGTCATAACGCCACGCATTAACCAATGACAGGAGACGTCCATCTATGTAAAAATATGAGGCTGACTTGGCGCGTCCCTTAAGTAATTAGAACGAGCATGCACCCCTCGCCCCCCTTCCCTTTCGGCTATTCATCGTACGCACGCTTACGAGAACTACCACTGAGCCGGTGTGTCTTACCCCCGGACCAATAAGCAAAGAGATCGCGTGACAATGATGGCGATAAGAACAATCCGTCCCGGTCTCTGCTGGCCTGACAATTGAGCTATGTGAAGGAAAGAACCGCGTGCTAGGCCATCTTTTCGATCTCGCATCTTCTAGAATCTCTAATTACCGCCAGGAAGAAACAGAGCAGGAAGCTATCAACGGATCTAATTCATTGCGATGTCTATTCGACGCGAAGAGCTCGGATGATTCCACTGTTCGGCAGCATATCAGGGCCGCCTTAAGTACGAGTGGGCGGAGCTGGTTTCGGAGTCCCGGGCTTTCTGCCACTCATTTCATGGGCCGGCTTTAGGTTGCGTGCCTTGGGCCGGAAGAAATCGGCTCTCAATCCAGGAAACCTGAGGAATCGAAGTCCAATCTCGAGCTTCAATTATGTTTACTTGACTAGTAACTTGGCGGAATTCACTTGAAGTAATTAAGGCAAATGAGAATGCGTCAACGTATACGAGTACATCCTGTCGCGCTGAAAGTGATTGTAACGTGGCTATAGCCACGTTACAATTACTCTCAGGTATTTTATAAGATACCCAATCTTACGTGATTCTATGTTCACCAGATGTTTGTGGCACTGCATACTATGTGGTTTGCTTTCACCAAATTCTCGTTAAGCGCACAGTATGTAGAATGCGGAAGTCACAAACTTACGATTTTGGGGAGTCTTCAGACACAACATAGTACTAAGCATACGATAATTGTAACAGAAGTAAACCACCATTTATATCTATTATTGTGAGAACACCGTGACAGTGCTGTTGAACTCGTCTAAAATTTAACTCAAATTTTCACTCTAACAACAGAGCCCATATTACACATGTGCAATGAAACCAGCGACAAAACAAATTTATGCACTGAAAATAAAAGTAAAAGAAAGGCGAAAATAAGCACAGTTGCCGTGATTTGGAACTTGAATGCTGTTCTCTTGTGTTCTAATGTATTTCGAGTAAGTTTTCGCATCGTTGCGTCTTACAAAATGCACTTCGAAAGAGTCTACATTTACGAAAACAGTTGTCTTCATAGGACATGAAAGCTTCAAGAAGTTTTATTGTACACGTAACTAGTACATAAACAAAAGAAACAACAAAAACAAGTACAAACAGTGTATACAACTTATATTGACAACCTAGTTTTGTATCCGAACGTTACAATTTTAAATAAAATTAAAATGAACAGAGTTTTCCACGTTTCGCAGAATGCCGCGTATGTTCTACGAGTACTCATGTCCAGGCCTGACAAAATAGCCGTCCTAAAAAGTTCTCTGTTAACTTTAGCAAATGCATATATGTTTTGAAGCGCGGTGGGTGGGATTGAGCAGGTCACAAATTTGTTTTTAAATAAAATCATGAGATTCACCTTTTCTAAGCAGGACAAAACAGATCCAGACATTCCATACTTGTTAATCCCTCGTATCTGTCGCGTCCTCTTTTCTCTAACTTTACACAATATAATGAAGTTGCGTGAGTGGTCCCACTTGCATCCTCTGCGTCCCACGACATGTAGGTAGGTGGTTCAAAGGGTTACTTGTTCATTAATGTCGTGCAGTCTAAAGAGGCTACTAATGTACAAAATGGGGTCATGGGACAGCGTGCCGCACCAAAACCACTTTACTTCTTAGAGCACTTCTAGTTCGCGCGGTCTCTAAACCTAAACTTGGTCGTCTACACAATGACATCTCCACGTGTCCTCGGCCGAATGGCGTTCACTCGCATTAACCGAGGCCTATCACCATGTGCGACTTTGTTTCGACTTGTTTCATTTCACGAGACCCCACTGCTGTACATATTCTCATGCAGTCGTTTTGTTTTAGGTTAGGTTATTAGAACAGGTTAGGTTTTGTTCATGTGCTGTCCACACTGCGGAAGTCTTTATTATGTCCCCGATGAGCGGGGTTGCTTGGCTGAGCCTTCTGAAAGAAAGTAGTCCGTATATGCAAGCTTTATGATAGCTGGTGTGAAGGCCTGCCGGGCTACCTTCTGTGGTACGTGTCTGTAGCCACTCTATACGCGAAGTTCCCCTCACGAGACAGCGGGGTAAGCGTGCTCATATGGTCGCGCGCCTTTTGTACGCGTGGGTGCATTTGCGGCCTCGAAAGCCCATAAAAAAAGATTAAATTAGTCGACCCTGCAGTGTTCTTTTTTCCCTTTAGCGGTATACGTCTGCTATCGTTTGCCAATAAAAGAAGGCCAATTATTATAAAAGGAACTGAGATAAAAAAAACTTCGAATTTTAACATTTTCACCCCTAAACGTGGTCATCGTAGAACGTACATGTATTCTTGAAAATCAGAATTTTCCGGTGCCCAAAAAGCTAAACTACCACAACCTGGCATCACTTATGGTTTTGTGCCATTACTATTTAATCGCAAAGATTAGAACTCATATATTAAACCCAGTCTTCACAACGTTGCGGCGAACAAGAACAGTAACTTCTAACAAACGTCGCCGCCACTCTTAACATGTTCATTTTATTTATGCAGTTTAGAAAGGTGC